CGATAGCGCGCCACTCTGTGCTAGAGCTAAATCCCTGGTGTTTCAAGGACTTCGCCGATTCTGGAATTTCAGTTACAAACGCTACTGGACACATTTCAGTCACGAACGCCACTCACTGTGCTAGAGCTGAATCTGGTGTTTCAAGTACTTAGCCGATTCTGAAAATTTCAGTCACAAACGCTACTAAGGCACATTTCGGTATTAGAGAAGTTATGAACAAAAATGGCAGGGTGTCCGCCGCAACGAGCCGGGAAACGGCAGTGTTGCACATAAGCGTAAAACAGCAATTGCAGGGTTTGTTTCTAGCCCTGCCTGACGATGACAGGGTGGACACCCAGCCAAAGCCAATTCTAGCAGTGTGGCTCCGTAATTTCACCCTGAAATGCAGGGCAGACAGGGTGAGACGCCCTGATATCCTGAGCCCTGCTCACGGACTAGCGAATCGCGTCTCGAATCCACGGAATCACGCACGGCTCGTACTGGACGATTGTGGGTGGGGTGGGGGAAAGGGAAGTGGGGAATTTTGTGGGAGGGGCGGGAAGGAAGTGGGAGGCCCCAGCTGGGCACTTGAGTGTGCATCCTCGTTATGCATTGTTCTCGAGGAGAAAGGTTCCACCGATCAGTCAGCCATTGTATATGTAAGGAAAATTCTGTTTCCTTACTTCGCATCCCTGCTCAACGCTTACATCACTGTAGCACCACAGTCAGCACCGTTACCACTCGCAACCCTCCAATCCGCCCGCCACCTTCGCACATCTCACCCCGACCTCACGGCTCGGCGGGTAACCCGCGCTCCGGGCCTCCGCTTCGACACTTTTTCCCAACCTCAGTCCCAGGCCCGTCGCAGCCCATTACCGTTACCACTGTAGTTTCGCTATATATTCTTTGCTCATGCCTTCGCTCATTGTACTCTTGCTTCGATAGTGCAATTCTCGTTCGTTCACTCAATTGCACTCGTAACAGTATACAAGTGCTGCAATAGACTTCATCAACAGAAAGCGAATTCATAGAAATCACTGACCCATATTCTCGCCATCTTTATCTGTACTACTAGGTTGAAGCCTATCAAGCCGTGCCTGTAGACTATGTATATAACTAACAGATTTTTCAATCATAGACCCAAGGTCCTGCCTATCCCCCAGAATCTCCTGAGGAATGGCAGTCTTCAGCCTCCTCAAACAATCACTTATCTTCTCCCTCCGCCTCCTCTCTTTCACCGAACGCGGCCTAATGGCCTTCAAAGCTGGGTTCCCACCGCTTGCACCACCAACCCCTCCTCCGCTACCAGCCGCCCCGCCTTGTCTCCTGCTCCCACCAGCCCTTCCCCCGCCGCCCACACGCGCTGACGCCGCCCTCTCCGCACTAGACTCCGACACGCCCAGTGCGTCCGAGCTCACGGGTCCGCTCATGCATTGCGCGATATCCTGAAATTCACCAGGAAATTCTGAGAACCTCCGTAGCGATGCGGGGGGTCCACTGTGAGCAGTCAGGGCATCTAAGCCAGCCCCACTGGCAGTCTGCTGCTGTCCTCTGCCAGAGAGCCTCTGATGGGGCTCACCTGCAAATGCAGGGGGCTGATTGTTAGGAAAAGCTGCATTTTCCACAGAATGAACCTTAAGGGGCGTCGGAAATTCGGCAGCACGCATGCTACTACCAGCTCCTCCAGAAACGTGCAGCTGTGACTGCTGTGGTTGCTGCGAATGGCCGTTGTTACCGCCTGCAGCCGCCACGTTGCTCCGCTGCATCTCCGCCATGAGCGCCGCAGCCAGCACTATGCGCTCCTCTGGCGCAAGCTCCGGCGGAATCTGCTGAAACAACGCCTCGAGCTCGTCCGCTGGAGTGACGGGCAGCGCAGCCGCTGGCCCCAGCGTAGCAGGCTCCATAATGCGTGTGCGCTGTGACTGCTGCTGCTGCTGCTGCTGCAGCTCGTTCTGAAGCCAATTCGCGCCGATCTGAACTCCAGCGGAAGCCTGAGGGGCCGCGGCGGAAGGCCACTGCGGCGGCGCTCCGAAGACGTTCCCAGCTGCGAGTCGGCTCGCCGCGCGCGAGAATTGCGCAGTGAATTGCGGTGGAGCCGTGGGCCGGATCGTCAGCGCGTCGTTACGCGCAGCAGCCGAGTGGTTCGCAACTATTCCCAATGCCCCAGAGAGCGCCGCCGGTTCTGTCGCCGCGGAACGCGCAGCGTTCGTTTCAATCAGATTGGCTCCATCCAGACCCCCTCCCAACGTGCTGTCTGGCAAACCCGCCATCCGCGATAGCGCGCTCAACTCCTCCAGGTCTCGACCGTGAAAAGCGACCGCGGATGATGCGGCGTTGGTCGCGTCGTGCGGCATTTCAGCAGCAAGCTGTTGTTGCACTAGCGCCGCGTATAAGTCCGCCTCTTCACCACCAGCGGAACCGCCGCCGCCGCCTGTCGCGGACTGCGCCGTCATCTGCTGCTGCAGCAGAAACTGCTTGGCGTCGAGCGACTGTAGCTCGGCCGCAATCTCGTCAATTGACGATGGCTGTCCGGCAGCGGCGGCGGCGGCACCGCCGGCGAGTCGCGGGATCCATTCAGCCAAGTTGTCGAGATCCGTTTGCGAGATCTCGTTCCCTGCGCCGGCCATGAATGCCGACGCGTCGGGAGGAATTGCGGAGGAACCGAAGAACGTCGAACAGGGGAAGTGAGAGATCCCTGATATGATCAGCTGAGGCTGCTCTTCCAAAAAGGGAGCTACTTGAAGGCCGGGGATGCTATCGCCAGGAGAGTCCAAGCTCGAAAGAAAGCCACCGAGTAGGCCGGGAGAGTCAATCTCCGTGTTTAGCGCCGGAAGATACGGCGTCGGGAAAGTTGAGCGTGAATTGCAGGATTCTACGCCTGCCATCGGTTAGTCCGTACAAGGACAGCCCTAGTTTGTTGATTGTAAATGACGTTACATCATCCGCGATTGCGAAAACTTGAGAAGTATCACACGAATGGTTTCGGAACTGGCTGGAACCGCGACCGAAAAAAAGAAAAGTTTGTATTTTTAGAAGCAGACGACGGCCTCAGTGAGGAGATCAGAGGAGATCAGAAAGAAATCAAGGTGATTGAGATGCGGAGTGTTGCTGGGGCCACGCCTGTGGCTACTACCCCTGGCCGGGGAGGTAAGGAGAACAGAAAGGCGGGGTGGCCAGGGAAATCGAAACTGCACTGCAAGGTTGTGAACAATGCAGTGCTATTTCGGCAACACACACTCAGCTCCAGCGGAACCATCTGGGGAACTCTCTCCTCCATTTTGCCCTTCTCCTTTCGCCCCATGAATGGCCTCCCCTTCCCCATGTACCCCGAGCCGCTGGCGGTCTGTCATCCACTCTCACTAGTGCCCCCTTCAGCTCGCATGCAGCAAGCCCATCTAGAATCGGCTCGCGAAATTTTGTTATGACGCCCCTCTACCACGCGTGTTTGTCGAGCTGCATGAAGGACGTCACCGGAAAGAAAAAAGTCAATAAAAAACATAATTAATGAGCACGAAAGAGGCATTGCAACTGTAATTAAAGCTGACTTAGGAAGAATTCTTTCGTGCGCCTGATTTTCTGGCAAAGGCATGACAGGCTTCCAAAAACTGGCAATTTTGTGGAATTTACGATGCCCGCCGACGAAGCAACAGCATACAGCCTGGCATTCGGCGTCGCTTGTTACACAAACAGCATCCGATTCGATCAAAGCCATGCCAACCCAGAAGCCTTGAGCCTCGTCACGTGATCAGGAGAAGGGGAACAAACAGCCCTTGACAGCACTTCGCCAGCCAGACTCTCTCAAGAAACTGCCAGCAGTGTACAACTGGCAAGGTGATTGTCAAACGCAATCCGTATCGTTGCAGCAGCAAATCAATGGACGAGGTATTTTGCGATCTGCGATTCTTTGCGTCGCGAACCAACCGACGGTCCCAGGAACTGTACAGCGGAAAACTTTTCCACACTGTTTCACAATCACAGCAGAGAAATTATACAAAAATCAGCCTTCGATGGGCGCAGTCTGAGCAGAAGTGTTCGAAGGCTCCAGCATTGGTGCTTGTGTTGTTCAATCGCCAATTCGTGCTCTGCGGTTCCACAAAAACGATGCACTGTACGTGCAAGACGATAAGGTCGCCGATGAATCCTATCCTGCCTTGAAAGTGGACAAAAATCGACGTAAGTCGGTTGCTATGGACAAGTAAACTGACGTCACGGTTATGTTGTTGTTGAGCTAGTTTGTGTGGCTTGCCTTGCCATGCAGTGAGGTGACCCTCGTGTGGTGGGGCAATTCATTCATACGAGCATTTGTTGTATGAACGTCACCATTTACGGAACGAACTAACTTCCCAGCCACTCTTAAGAAACTCTTCCGGAGCTGCTGAATCATCGGGCACACAACTTTTTCGAGGGCTGACTTACCTGATGAGGGCTACATAAAACAGCAAGCCGTTTGCTTTCGTTCGAGTCAACCCAATTTTGAGGTAGCGAACCGGGATGGTGATGTGCATGATTCAGAACGAGACTGTGAATGATTCCCAGCCACACATGCCTGATTGGTGGAAATTGTCGCATCGTGATTACACGCCCAAAACAAGTGATACACCAGCTTTGTGTAAGCCCTGTCTGTCTATACTAGCAAAGGTGTACAGAGTAAATATTATACAGACACTTACATCCAACCCACAATAATGCTCACACTAAATTGTCGCTACATACTCTTGGGCATGCTTTGCCACTCTAAATGTTTCTGGGGCTCACGATCCAGCAATCCTACGCTGTGTCCTAGCTTTGTCACGGACTTACTGCGGTTCTGATTCTCACAGGTCCCAAGAATATGAAAGCCACCAAACAAAGGCTTACCTCTCCTTGTGTTCGTAGGCTGGTTCTGAACTGGAATGAATGGCGTGTGCATGTATGTAGAATCCATACATGAGCGTCCACTGGAGCTGCGTGCCGTTCTTGGACTGTATATGGTCATTTTGAAGAGCATGCACTGGGTAGGTACGCTAGGCAACCCTTTGGTGTCACGGAAGGTCAAAGAAGCGGTGCTGCAGAGCAGAGTCCGCGGAAGGCCGCTGGCGATAGTCCGGGTTCAGCATGGCCTGCATGGGAGAGCACAGAGCAAGATGGCGGAGCAGGGAGACGCAGGGAAAGACTGTCTGATGTAAGGAGATGCAGGGAAATCAAAGAAGTGGTGCTGCAGAGTGGACCCGCGGAAGGCCGCTGGTGATAGTCCGGGTTCAGCATGGCCTGCATGGGAGAGCACAGAGCGAGGCACAGGAGCAGCAGGGAGATGCAGGGAGATCAATAAGCAGTGTCAGAGCTGAGTCTGCTGACAGCTGCTGGCGATAGTCCGGGTTCAGCATGGCCTGCATGGGAGAGCACAGAGCGAGGCACAGGAGCAGCAGGGAAATGCAGGGAGATCAATAAGCAGTGTCAGAGCTGAGTCTGCTGACAGCTGCTGGCGATAGTCTGGGCTCAGCATGGCCTGCATGGGCGGGAAGAGAATGAGGCACAGGGGCAGGGAGTCGCAGGGAGATCAAGATGCAGTGGCACAGCAGAGTCTGCGGAAGGTTGGTGGCGATAGTCCGGGCTCAGCATGGCCTGCATGCGAGAGCGGTGAGTGAGGCACAGGGACGGGGAGATGCAGGGAGATTAAAGAAGCACAGTCCATGTTTCTCACCATGCTCAACACAAGTCATACAGCCACACCCCTTGCCTCCACCCCTTGCCTCCACCCCTTGCCTCCACCCCATACACCCCACGCCTCACCTGCAGCAGCTCCCACCCAGCACCGTCTCTTCGATCCAAAAACGCCACGGCATTGCTCCATCGGTCGTCAGCACAGCAATACCTGCAGGGAGCAGCGCACAGGAGGGATGGGAGGGGAGAATGAAAGGGGTGAAAATTCGTGCAAGGAAAGGGGAGAGCAATGGAGCGAGTCTCAAGTCACGGCACCGCCTCTTCGATGCAAACACGCCAAGGCATTGCTCCACCGGTCGTCAGCAGAGCAATACCTGCAGGGAGCAGCGTAGGGGAAGCACAGCAAGGGATGAGCATTGAGACAAACAGGGATGAGCCCTGGGACGAGTCACAAGTCACAGCACCACCTATTTCATCTAAACTCACGAGTCTCAGAAAAGAGAGTGCCTCTAACAGAGGTTATTCAAAGAGTGCGTTATAAGGAGGGCTTTCAAAGAGACATTTTTAGGAAGATTCTTCACAGTGTGCTTACTCTCGTGCTGCAGGGATGTTGAGCGAGAAGGTGGTTTCTAGCAGCCTCTGGCAGAAGGGGAGGTGGGAGAACGGTGACAGGGGAAAGGGGGTGCGGAGGGATGGGGTGTGAGAATAGTGCGAAAGAGGAACAGGAGGCAGCAAAGTGTATTTGGAGAAATACGAGTGTATTTGGTAGGCATGGCTTGTATGACGTCTGTTCTTTTTTCATCTGGAAGCAATGGCCGATCCTCTCACCTGCAGTGATGGCCCGTCAATGGCCCCCGGAGCACACAGAGGCACGAACGCCATGTACGCCACTAGCAGCCCTGCTGCATAGCTGGCGAGGGGTGGAGAGGGGTGGGGAATGGTGGGAAAGAGTCATCTGGTCAGGTGAATACGCACAGAGAGGCATGAAAGCCATGTAAGCCATAAAAGCCACGAAAGCCAAGCAGCCCTGATGCATAGCTAGCGAGGGGTGGAGAGGGGTGGAGTGGGGGGTGGAGGGGGTGGAGGAGAGGGCAGGAAGGGGGAAGGGAATGACCAGCCAAGCCAAGACCCACAGAGAAGCAACGGGACAGCAAACCCCACACACCACCTCACATCCATCACCAACTCCCACATACCCCACCTCACCGCACTCGCACGTCGTCCGCAAGGCCAAAAGGGCGGCACTCCAAAAAGGAGTTGGTGCCGGCAGAGGCCGCGAAAGGGCATCACCACGCCAGCACCCCTCACACCCGCCATACTCCCCAACAACCGCTGTACACCCCTCCCCACCCCCTCTGCACCGCACTCACATGTCATCTGCCAGGCCAAAGGAGCGGCGCTCAAGGAAGGACTTGGCGCCCGCAGAGGCAGCGCGGCGCCACAGGCTGTCCTTGACCTCGTCCACGGCATCAAAGGCGCTGCCCACTCCCGCTGACAGCACTGCTGGGTTGCTGGGAGACACAGAGAGACATGCGGGCACAAGGAGAGAGTTGGCATACTGCGAGTGGGCGTGGGAGTGAAGCGGCGCCACAGGCTGTCCTTGACCTCGTCCACGGCATCAAAGGCGCTGCCCACCCCCGCTGACAGCACCGAGGGGTTGCTGGGAGACACAGGGGGCAAGGAGTTGGGTGGGCGGGAACAACGGATAGATGATGAATTGAAAGGGCGCCACATGCTGTCCTTGTATTCGCCAATGGTATCAGAGGCACCTTATTAACGGACACAGCTCATGCCCACGCACCTGATGCCAGTGGGTGTATCTTTTTTATTTTTTTAATTTCCAGAGACACCCTGCGACGCAACGCACCTGATGTCAATGGCAAAGGCAAAGTCGCAAAGGCGCGGCACAAGGTAACGCACATCCATCTCGTTGGTGGTGCTGGGGGTGGGTGGGGAGAGAAGGCGGGAGAGAAAAACAAAGCAAGATAGGGGGCATTCATTTGGGCGCGAAGGCAGCAGGGTAACCAGAGACAATGCAGCGCAGTTGGTAACAGGAAATTGACTATTGGAGATAAATGGGTCAAGGGAAGGAGGTGATAGGGAGAAGGAAATAATTTTACTTGAGGACAACCGATGCCGGCCCAATGGACTGGTGCAGCCGCCCCTTTGAGTGCATATACGACAGCCCCTGCAGGAACCCCCTCAGAAGCTTCCGGATGAAGATCTCCCGCCGAAACAGAGGCTTGGCAGGATCGAACCGGTCCCAAACCTCAAAGTCCCCCACGGCCCGAGCCTCGGCGGTAGCTTCGGAGGCAGCTTTGGCGTAGTCTGCTGCGGTGATGTAGCCATCGTCTCGCATCACCAACCACTGCTCTGGTGAGCGATGGGAAAAGGGGGGAGGGCGGGCGGGAAAAGTGGGGGATGTTGGGATAGATGGTGGGGATGGTTGTTGTGGATGGGCGGTGGGGGCGTGAAGTTGCTCAGAGCTCCCAGAAGCTCCACCCTGCTGCGGTGATGTTGCCATCGTCTCGCATCACCAACCGCTGCTCTGGTGGGCGGTGCGGAGAGAGGGGGAAAATGAGGGGTGGTTTGGGGGATGGATGGTGAGTGGGAATGGGAGGTGGGGATGGTGAGTGGGAATGGGAGGTGGGGATGGTGAGTGGGAATGGGAGGTGGGGATGGTGAGTGGGAATGGGAGGTGGGGATGGTGAGTGGGAATGGGAGGTGGGGATGGTGAGTGGGAGTGGGAGGTGGGGATGGTGAGTGGGAATGGGAGGTGGGGATGCCGATTTCGGATGGTCAGCGGGTACAGAGCATGCACCTTGCGGCAGCAAACGTGTTCTGTGACTTGTGCCACTCACTCTCCCACGCACCTTCTCGCCCGAGCTTGTCTCAAAGCCGCCCAGCAGCACCAGCACGTTGCGTGACACTTCCACCTCGTCGTCCTGTGCCTCGTCCTGCTCAGGATGGCAAACAAACATCAATGAATGCAATAAGCCAACAAGGAGAATGCAATAGGCATGTGCGACAACCATCAACGAATGCGCCTGCTCTCGCATCAACCAAATCTCATCACCCAACCACTCAGACCCCCCCCAACCCCCTCACACCCTGGCATAAACCCAACCCCATCACTTCCCACACCCCCAGCACCAACCCACCTGGGCCTCCTGCAGAGCGACATGTGTCACGAGCTCATTGGCTGCCATGGCATCCACGTCAACGGCCTTGGCTGCGGCCTCTCTGCCCGGATACGCCTTGAGCAGCACGCGCGTGCCCAGGCGCTCCCCTGGTGTTACCATGCGGCCTCGGTACATTCTGAGGGCGGGATGAGGAGGGAGGGGTTGGGGAGAAGGGGGAGGGGTGAAGGGAGCGCTAGCTTTACCGCCGGCCTCTCTGCCCGGATACGCCTTGAGCAGCACCCGCGTGCCCAGGCGCTCCCCTGGTGTCACCATGCGCCCACGGTACATTATGAGAGACAGGGGGAAGTGGAGGTGGTGGGGAAAAAGGGCGAGGGGTGAGGGGAGCCCTAGCCTCAATGCGCAGGTATGCCTTGCGCTGCGCAGCACAGCACAAGGGGAAGGTATGCCTTGAGCAGCGCAGCACAGGGGGAAGGTATGCCTTGAGCAGCGCAGCACAGGGGGAAGGTATGCCTTGAGCAGCGCAGCACAGGGGGAAGGTATGCCTTGAGCAGCGCAGCACAGGGGGAAGGTATGCCTTGAGCAGCGCAGCACAGGGGGAAGGTATGCCTTGAGCAGCGCAGCACAGGGGGAAGGTATGCCTTGAGCAGCGCAGCGCAGCACAGGGGGAAGGTATGCCTTGAGCAGCGCAGCACGCGCGTGCCCAGCCGCTCCCCTGGCGTCGCCATGCGAACATGGCACATTTTGAAAGTGGAAAGAAGGGGGAGGGGGAAGAAAGGGTAGGGAGGAAAGGGAAGGGTGAGAGAGTTCTAGTATCAGTGTCAGCCTTGGGGGCGGCCTCCCTGCCCGGATTTGAGTCGACTCAAAAGGAGGCGGCCTCCCTGCCCGGATATGCCTTAAGCAGCACACACGTGCCCAATTGCTCCCCCGGGGTTACCATTCCGAGGGCACAGGGGGAGGAAGGGGGGAGAGAAAGGGGAAGGGGAAGGAAGAGAGGGAGGGGTGAGGGAAGCCCCCTAGGCACCTGGATGGATTTGATATCCGACCTGCTCTGCACGCCTCCTTGCCCGACCTCCTGCCCGCCTTCCGCCAGCTGGTTGATGTTCCTCTAGCTCAGCCCTGCTCGTTCAGCACACTCAAGTTACCCCACAGTGTACAAGAGAGAAAGGAAACCCTCCACGCACCCCACCACACATGCATGCCTGGCTTTAATTACCTGATCTGCACACCGCCTCGCCCCACCTCCTGCCCGCCTCCCGCCAGCTGGTTGATGTCCCTCTCGCTCAGCCCTGCTGCCGTGTCCTCGCGGGACCCCGGCCACGTCAGCGACGACAGTGATGACGTGGACGAGGACGAACCGGGCGGCATGGAGTAGCTGGAGGGGCATGAAGGTGGGAGATTGCGTGGGGGAGGACAGATAGGGAAGGATGAGAAGATGCGAGTGGATAAGTTGTGTGGATAAAATGCGTGGATATGATGTGTGAACAGGATGTGTGGGTAGGATACGTAGACAACGAAGGTGCCTATAGGAGTGGCTCGAAGGAGAGGGGGGACATGGAACTGGCATTGAATTCATTCTCCAGTTCTCACCTGAAATTCAAGTTTCCGAAATTTCGCCAATGTGACACGTGGCGCACCTGGAGACGTTCATGAAGTCGAGGGTACCCAGTAATCGCTCCACGGAAAAGTCGTCCGGCGAGAATTGAACCACCGGGTCCACAGCCTCTGCTCTCGGCGCTCCCCGCGTCGCCCGCCTCTTCCTCCCTGAACCCGCCGCGTCGATCCTAGATCCTGCCGACGCGCACCCTCCCTTGAGAGCTGCTGCTCTTCCAGCGAATCCATTCGCGGGATTGGTCCAAAAGGAGCTCGTGAGACGTGGCGGAGCGCGTCTATGGATGACCGGTGGGATGGGTGATGCTGTGCCTGATGGGATGGTCTGGTTGGCTGAGTGGTTGCAGGCTCGATGCGTAGCGCGAACGCACGTTGGGACCAAAGTGTGAAGCGTTGAAGCCATGATTGAGATGGTGAAAGGATTTGGTGCTAGGCAGTCGTTCTAGGCGTTTGGGATCTAACCGCAACTCCTCTCGTTCCGGCTTCCAGAAGAGACACAGGGCATTAACAACTTAGATACGTAGTTGAGAATAGAGCTAACGCGAAAAACTGGTTGCCATGGCTGGTTGAGGGTAAGAACTGAAGGATGGTAATGGGAGAATGGACGGAGAATGAAACGCTGAAGGGAAAATGAAATGCTGAAATGCGATGAAGCTCAATTTGCGGTGAAGTGACGGGAAAATCTCTTCAGCACCGAGTGAACAGAAAAGTTGGGGCATTTATCTTAGCGGTAACACTCATTGGGGTCGATCGCACGCAAGGTAAGCCACGTGTCCAAATCGTAACTAAAGTATCTTCCGATTGCCTCCATGGTAACCAACGTGCCAGTTTGGTCAACATTATTTCCAGAATGGTAATGAACAGTGCATTCCGAAATCCCAACTGGTAACTCGTCAGAACATCCGCGATGTACACCGTACGTACCCTGTATGACTCAGATTTGAACGTACAACACAACCAATTTCTGTAGTTCCCAAGCCAATTCCCTTACCCAAATCGTCCCGCTACCTCCTAACCCTAATCACACCAACAGATCATAACACCTAGTAGTCACCCTGGTGAACGCTGATCTGTCGACAATGGTGCGCAGCGCCCCATATAGGTATGTCCCCGACCCGTGGTCTTCACATCGTAGTCATTGTTGTGTGCGCCTATAGTTCCCTACACGAGCATGGCGCCGCAATCGGCGCTGCGCCATGCAGCCAAGGCATGGCGCAGCCCGCAAATGCGCCATGCCAAGGCATGGCGCCGCAATCGGCGCTGCGCCATGCAGCCAAGGCATGGCGCAGCCCGCAAATGCGCCATGCCAAGGCATGGCGCCGCAATCGGCGCTGCGCCATGCAGCCAAGGCATGGCGCAGCCCGCAAATGCGCCATGCCAAAGCATGCATCTTTTACGCATTATGTAGCTTTGGTTGCAACATTTTCATGTCTCGTTTGTTTACCGTCTTCCATCTCTGTGTGTACTTCCATGATTATATGTATTTGTTTACCATCTATTTATAATCTGCCGTGTTCCATTTTCTCCGCAGTGTGTTGGTGCAGAACCGGGGTGAGCTCAACTTGTCAATGGGCCATGTGTTTGCGAACGTCGATGAGGCGCGTAGGCATATTCGCAAGTATGCTCGTCAGGAAAGGTTCGAACCTCACTTTCACTATAACAGAGCTGATTGTGTTGATGTGCGCTGTCTGTGTATGAAGGGGGTTGCGTGGCCCGCTGCGGGTGTGCCTGCTCCGGACGGTTTCTGTCCATTCCGTATTTATGCGCAAGGGCCTAGGGAGGGGAAGATTGAGATCAGGGAGCTTCACTTAGAGCATGCCGATATGTGTGTTGTATGTCCTGCTCGGATTAATGTGGAAGAGGTCAAGGAGATCGCCCGTGAGTTTGTCGCGCATGGCACGATGAGTCCTAGTGGTTTGAGAGATAAGGTGAAGGAGGTTTATGGCGTCTCATGTTCATACAACACAGCACGTCGTGCACTTCTTCAGCTTGAAAAGGAAGATGTTTTGTCGGGGGACGAGGGATTTGAGTATTTTGAGATGCTATTGTCCATGTTTAAGGAGCTGAACCCTACGTCGCGAGTGTCCATGGTGAAGGATGGGGACAAGTTTTTTCGTGCTGGGTTAGTGTTCCCCGGAGCTCGCACTGCATTGTTGAACTGTTTCCCAATAGTGTTTGCGGATGGCTGTCATAACAAGACAAGGTGGAGCGGACAAACACTTAACCTTTGTGCTCTTGATTGTGAGCACAAGCTTGTGCATCTTGGGATTGCATGGGTTGAGGGTGAGACGAAAGAAGCATGCAGTTTCATTTTCCAGCTCTTACTGGAGGCCGTGCCAGAAGTTAACACTGAGGGTTTTATTATCATGCATGATCGGGGGAGAGGATGGGCAGCTGCGACGCGTGAGGTTTTTCCAAACGTAAGGGAATCCTTTTGCGTCACTCACATAGTTCGGAACTTCAATGCTAAGTTCCGGTCAACCCTTGATGGCAAGATTGAGCATGCTGCTAGTGCCTTGACTGCAGAGGTGTTTGCACAGTACCTAATGAAGATCGAGAAAGAGTGTCCCGGGGGGGTTGTCTACTTGACAAAAGATGAGCTGTCTAGAAAATGGGCCACCACCAGATTTGGGGCTGCTCGTTATGGTTGCTACAGCTCGAACCCTGTAAAGTCCAGTCATGCCATGTTGAAGGGCTTGAGGAGAAAGAGTCCGGCGCAGGTTTTGTTAGCAGTGATTGGGAGGAAGGGGGTGTCAACATTCAAGCGGCATGAGGCATTCGAGACCATGGCTAACGATCAGCTGCCACAGAAAATTGTGAACATCATTCGCGAAAACGCCAAGTATGGAATGTCGTATACGGCTGACCAGACAGGAGAGACGGCGGTAGAGAAGTTTGGAGAATGGGTTGTGGAGCAGACCTTCAAGGTGACCCGCACGACTGGACGGGAGACACGGCGCGTCACGACATACGCTAGTCACCCTGAGGCCAGCACATGCAGCTGCGGGTATCCAAGGTAGGTCATGCGTCAGTGACTAAACATTTGTTCAAACATATGTTATGTGAAAGTACTTCTTGGAAACATTCTCAAATGATCCTCCCTTCTACCGTGTGTCCCCTTGTACAACCCGCCTTTGTGTAGGGAGTACGGCCTCCCATGTGTACACCTTTATGCTGTCTACAGGTCCACACCGGAGAAGGCTCATCAAGTAGTGGACCGCTACTACAAAGTGGAGGCTCTTAAAAATGTATACAGTACCCCTGTTGTCCCGCTCGACCCTACCGAGGCGTTTCGAGACAACACCACCAAGCCACCTTCGTACCCAAAGAGGCCAGGGCGTCCACGTGAGACCCGTATCAGAAGTTCTGGTGAGGTGGATGGTGATAAGATGCGCAAGTGTGGGAAGTGTGGTGAGAAAGGTCATAATGTGCGCACATGTGAGTTGCGGGCGGCACAACGGGCAGCATGGGAAGAGAGGCACTCACCACAGGCTCATGTTGATATGCAAACATGCACAATTGCGATGGGTGAGGTAAACGTGTCAAAGTGCAGCGCGTGTGGAGAGCTACATCGTGAAGGGATTCGTTGTTCAGCTGTACGTACGATGGAAGCTCGAGCACGACGGAATGGAGATGAGGAAGAGGGTGCCGCTGGGAGAGTAGAACAAGGAGTTGCGGGCGATGAGGATACGGAGTATTCCCTCACATCAGATTCTGAAGGAAGCGACTGGCAGGAGGAGGAGGGAGCAGGGAGGCGGCAGCCACAGCAGCAAAGTGGAAGTCAACAGCAAGGGGGGGAGCAGCAGCAGCAGCAGCGGCAGGGGAAGCAGAAGGGGAAGCAGAAGGGGAAGCAGAAGGGGCAGCCGAAGGGGCAGCGGGGGCAGAGGCAGCAGCGAAGGGGAAGGCAGCAGAAAGCAGGGCAGGGGCACGGGCATGGGCAGGGGCAGCAGCAGCAGGAGGAGGAAGAGCAGCAGCAACAGCAGCAGCAGCAGCAGCAGCAGCAGCAGCAGCAGCAGCAGCAGCAGCAGGAGGAGGAGCAGCAGCAACAGCAGCAGCAGCAGCAGCAGCAGCAGCAACAGGAGGGGGAGGAGCAGCAGCAGCAGCAGCAGCAGGGGGAGCAGCAGCAGCAGCAGCAGGGGGGACAGCAGCAGCAGCAGCAGCAGCAGCAGCAGGGGCAGCAGCAGCAGCAGGGGCAGCACCAGCAGCAGCAGCAGCAGCAGCAGCAGGGGCAGCAGCAGCAGCAGCAGCACAGGGAGGAGGCAGCTGCATCAGAGGGCCTAGCGTCGACATCAGCTTCACAAGGAGCAGGGGTGCCATCGGCTGTATCTAGAGCAATGCCAGTTGCAGGGGGGGAAACCATAGCATCGGCGGATGCAGTTGGGCTGCGGGCGAACAGGCAGGGCCATGATCACCAACAAGGCGTGCAGCAACAGGGTACTCAACAGGGGACCGTGAATACGGCGGGCCCAAGAAGTATCGCAGCTGTTGTCCGGAGTCGTTTGCGCAAGCTGTCACGCCTGAATCTGCAACAACAAGTGCCAGATTTGGAAGAAGCTGCAACAGAAATTATTGACAGAAGTACGTCTGGGGGCCCGTCTCAAAGAATCCGGCGACGTGAAACTCAAGGAGAAGGAGAGCAGCCGAGACGGCAAAAACAGGGAAAGCAACGGCAGAGACGGCAGCAACAGATAGGTGGGCAGCGGCAGGGGCAGCAACAGACAGGGCAGCAGACAGGGCAGCAGGCAGGGCAACAGGCAGGGCAGCAGGCAGGGCAACAGGCAGGACAGCAGACAGGTCAGCAGGCAGGACAGCAGACAAGTCAGCAGGCAGGACAGCAGACAGGTCAGCAGGCAGGACAGCAGCCAGCAGGGCAGCAGGAGGTGGGGCAGCAGCATGCTGGGCAGCAGCAGGCATGGCAGCAGCAGACATATTGGATGTGGCAGGCAGGGCAGCAGCAGGGGGGACAGCAACGGGCAGGGCAGCCGCATGCCCGGCAGCTACATGCAGGGCGGCAGCAGGGCATGGCGCAGCAGGGCATGGCGCAGCAGGGCATGGCGCAGCAGGCAGACCAACATCGGGCGGTTCAGCAGCGCGGTTGGCTGCAGCAGATGGGTTTGCATTGGCAGGGAGTTAGAGTCCCTATGCCGGAGCCAGGGATTGCCACATCTAATAATGACCATGGCATGCATAGAGGGGTTGGCACACCTCGAGAAGGGCTGTACTGGCAGTACCCATGGACTGTGCCCATGCAGTCATACATGAATCAGCAATGGCCATCGTATGGAGCGCCAACCCACACCATACAACCTGCGGACGGTGGTGATTCTGCGATGGGTGTTGCGGGTGGACAAGGTGTAACTGAATTCTCCAAAGAACAGGTTTAAGAACATGAGTAGCCCCGCTGTTGAGCTAAGCTTATACATTCGTCGTTGACAACAGATTGCCATGATCTCAAGCAATTTGGGCTTGTTGTAGTGATTATAGGGGGGTCCATCTCTGGTGCATGCAGCACAGGTGCCTGTTAGAAATTTATACAATGTTTCACGCCGCGGACAACACGACCCATTTCATGACGTAGGTAAAAAACGATACTACATAAGGTAACAGGTTGGATTTGCATATATGTTGGTTATATTTATAAGAGACTAGCACATAACTTCTGTAGACACCGTATTCAGGATCCATTTTAATTTCGTAATCCCTAGTCAAGACAAAAATTTGACAAACATAATAGCATTTATTGTTTTACTATCATCTACACATGTTCAAGTTATAAACGTGAAATTATAACAAATATGTTACAATGCGAAGCCTATATCCTGTGAAAGAGAGAACGAGGATGAAATGACTATGAAAGAAGTGAGTACAAATAGGAAACCCTAATTGGGTTGTACCCCCTATGGGATACCCCACTATAGCCTACACAATAGTATAAGCTATATAGTTCTGACACACCCCCATAGGCAAAGTGGGGGAGAACAAGGGGTCACAAGACCAGTCAAGCAAAGCAAAGCAAAGCTCAGGGTGGATCACAAAGTCACCACACATTCCGAGCACAAGTTCAAGGCCACATGGCCAGTTCACATGCAAGATCATATATAGAGATATGCAAGAGTCAAGTAAGCAAGAGTATATATAGGCGAAGGTACAAGCAAGGTCAAGAGGAGAGCAAGTGAGGCAAGACAGGCACAAGACCCAACTGCGTGCAACAACGCTGATGATCACAAGGCGCAAGTGCCTTGGTGAAGACATCAGCAGTGTTGGCCTCAGAGGCCACGTACGCAAGTCGCAACTGTCCACGCTGCTGTAGCTCACGAGCAAGAAAGTAGCGGAGAGCAATGTGCTTCGTTCTGTGCTCCAGTCTCTGCTCTCGACACAAGGCCAGCATGGCCTTGTTGTCTACGTACAGGACTGGAGGAGAACGAGGCTGCTCTCCAAGGTCGGTCAACAGGTAGGTGAGCCAGCGTAACTCCTGTGCAGCCATAGCCCCGGCGTAGATCTCAGCCTCACAACTGGAGCCGAGAACAGAAGACGAGCGGGTAGCTCGCCACGAAACAGAGCCGGAACCAAGGCTGAAGGTGTAACCCTGTGACGACCGCTGCGTAGCCTGGTCGTCAGCCCAAGAAGCGTCCGCGTGCCCAGTGAGGACCACTGGACTGCGCCCTCCAAGCACTAGCCCCATGCCCGACGTACTGCACAAGTAGCGCAACACCCTCTTCGCTGCAGCCATGTGCTCTGGTCGGTGTCTCCCAGGAGCAACATAGCGTGCGAGAATGCTAAGAGGGTATGCAAGGTCAGGTCGTGTGCAGGTCATCAGGTACATGAGGCAGCCAACAAGCTCTGCATACGGGCCACTCGACTCTACGGACTCATCCGAAGGCAGAGCTGAGAGCGAGTGGCGAGTAGGCAGAGGAGTGGCCTGAGGCGAGGAGTACGTGAAGCCGAAGCGCTGAAGGACCTGCTGCACCATGTGTGACTGAGTCAGGGTAATGGTGCGGCGTGCTCTGTCCCGGGTGATCTGCAAGCCAAGATAGCTGCGCAGTTCACCCAGGTCAGTGCACGTGTGTCTCTTCTGCAGCTCGGACTTCACGTAGGCGAGTCCAGCAGTGTCAGCTGTGGCAAAGACCAAGTCGTCGACGTACACGAGGATGTAGAACGGCGGCAGAGAGGTGTCGGTGCGCAGAAACAGCGACGGGTCGGCAGTAGAAGGAGCAAACCCAAGTGCCGCGAGCGTAGTCCTCAGTGTGTCGTGCCACTCACGTGGCGCCTGGCGGAGACCGTAGACTGGACGCCGGAGACTCCACTGGGTACCAGGAGGGAAAGACCCAGTGAAGCCAGGTGGGCGACGCAGCCAGATCTCCTCGTGCAGGCTGCCCTGCAAGAAAGCTGTGCTGAAGTCGAGAGAGTGCAGCTCGTAGTCACGGTGAGCAGCAACGTGCAGCAGGACCCGAAGAGTGGTCATCTTCGGGGTGGGGGAGAAGGTCTGAAAGTAGTCAACCCCCTGCCGCTGACTGAAGCCACGAGCCACGTAACGCGCCTTGAAGACAGGCGGAGAACCCGGCGGCCGCTTCACCCTGAAAATCCACATGCCACTGACGATGTTCGCCCCAGGGGGGGGAACAGCGTCAACGTAGGTGCCTGTGGACTTCCAGGAAGCCATCTCTGCATCCATAGCTGCCTGCCACTGAGAGGAGTAGGGACCCTCTATCGCCTCCGCGTAAGAGCGCGGAGTCGGGATGTCTGGTGCATCCGGGTCTCCCTCAGGGGCTAGCAGTACAGACGCGAGACGAGGTGAAGCGGCGGCTAGACACTGGAACTCCTCCTGCCTGTCCTCAAGGACGTCCGTGCCAAGGGCACACTCACCCCCGACGGACGGAGGACAGGCGGACTCAGACTCAGTGACAAGACGGGCAGCGTAGTCTAGACGACAGCGCGCAGCAAAGTCGACAAGCTCAGTGAGAAGGGCAGACGCAGCAGACGACTCGAAGGAAGGGTCAGTGACAGCTGTAGCAAGGAGACGCGTGACACTAGGACTGGCAGCACGAAGGGAGTCCGACTCCGGGTCGGCAAGAGCAGGAAGAGAGGAAGCAGGAGGAGAAGGCAAAGGGGCACGCAGAGGAGCAGTGGACGGACGCAGTGACATCCGGTGCGTGCCAGGGACAGGAGGAGGACGCTGACGCGACCCGCGACCACTAGCGCGCTCAGTACGAACAGGCGACACAGGACGAGACGCAGGCTCACGACGCTCAGTAAGACCTCCAGTCGGACCAGTGTAGGGAGACGGAGCAGGCAAAGGGGAGGCAGGCTGTAGCTGTGGCTGTGACCGGACAGGCTGCGGACCCTCTAAGGGAGGAGGAGGAGGTGTAAGACCAAGAACCTGCTGCAGTAGCGGAACGAAGTAAGGTCGGGGCCGCGCGGCGACACCAGAGACAGCAGGAACAGTACCAGCAGCCCCGGCAGGAGTACCCACTCCAGCAGCACCTCCAGCAGCACCACCAGAAGCTCCAGAACCTCCAGCAGCAGCACCAGGAGCACTGTCAGTCGGACCGCCAACGGCAGGCTCAGCGCCAACACCCTCAGTAGCACCAGCTCCAGGAGAACTCTCAGACCCAGCAGCTCCAGCACCCACAGTACGAGCACCGGCGGGACGCGAGGCAGCAGTACCCTCTGCAGCCGAAGAACCACCAGCACCAGCAGCACACCTCCAGCGCCTGGCAAACCACTCACGCAGCTCCTGCGGGGAGAGTGGTTCCCGGCGAGACGAAGCACCCCCAGGCACAACACCCCCAGGCTCAGCACCCCCAGGCACAGCACCCCCAGGCTCGGCACCTCCAGGCTCAGCACCCCCAGACGCAGCACCCCCAGGCTCAGCACCCCTAGGCACAGCACCCCCAGGCTCAGCACCCCCAGGCTCAGCACCCTCAGGCTCAGCACCCCCAGGCCCAGCACCCGCAGCAGCACCAGAGTCACCAGTGACCTCGACAGGCTCGACCGCGTCTACCTGGGACACACCTGAAGGGGCAGGACCCTGAGGGGGGAGGGGGACTACCGGGGGGGGACCTGGTACCAGGAAGAGCGGGGGTGGGGGGAGGGACGGAGTGCGGTAGGGGAAGAGGCGGTAGTAGGGTACCGACTCGTCGAACGTGACGTCCTGGGAGGACAGAACACGTCGAGAGGTGGGGTGGTAAAACTGCCACCCAGGGGCGTCGGGGGGGAACCCCAGGAAGACGCAGGGAGAAGCACGAGGGGACAGCTTGTCCGCAGACAGGTCGCGAACAAACGCCCGAGATCCCCAGACCCGGAACGCCGACGCATCGCCAACCTTCCCCGTCCACAGCAGGGCTGGGGAGGTCTCCGGTCGAGAGACCCTGGGGTGGAGGTTGATCTGGTGCGCAGCGTACCTGACCGCAAACGGCCACAGAAAATGGGGAGCAGCCGCATGCATCATGGACGTACGAGCGACGTCCATGACCATGCCAATGCGGCGCTCAGCAATCCCATTCTGCTGTGGTGAGTCCGGAAGCGTGAAGGTCTGACGGATGCCTCGTGCACGACAGTAGGCACTCAGGAGGCCAGAGGAGAACTCTCCGCCTCTGTCCGAGTGCAGACGCAAAACAGGGAAGTCAGAGCCAAAGCTCCTCCGAAGCTGGAGACGAGCTGCGCGGATCCAGTCGATCAACACCGCAGTGACCTCACCCTTGCTGCGCAAGGGGAAGACTGTGGTGTAACGCGAGTAGTCGTCAACCACCAGCAGGAAGTAGCGCTCCTGACCCTGTCCACGGACGCGGGCTGGGCCCCACACGTCCATGTGAAGCGTCTGCAACGGGGCCTCTGTCGGAGGAAACTGGGAGGAGTGAGGGGCAGCACGCTGGCGCCCCTCGACACAGGGGACACAGGTAGGGCCAGGGCCCGGAGGAAGGGGAGGGAGAGACCGGGGAAGACCAGACACAAGGACTCGCGAGGCCATGCCTCTGAGCCGAAGCAGAGAGGGGTGGCCAAGGCGGTGGTGCCAGAGGAGGGTCTCGTGAGACAGACGACGACACGAGCAGGGGGCAGACTCAGGACCAGACCTGGACGCTGCAGCAAACACCTGACCAGACGAAGGGACCCTACCAGACTCAGCACCTGGAGGAGAAGCAGTGGTCAGTGTGTACAGGCTCGACCCTGGCCGACGTGTAAACGTAGCCAGGTGGCGACCTGTATCCGCCTCCGTGCAGTGGGTCACCCGCTGACGAGCAGGGGTGAACTGGTGGACACCCGCATCCTGGAGGTCAGCA